GCAGCTCCGCAGCCGCTGCTGGGATGTCTGGCTGGGCTGTGGGTCAGGAACGTGGCTGGCTCAGGGTGGCATCAGCTCTGGGGAGCAAGGAGACAACAGCAGCATGAGATGTGCCTCCAGCCTTTGGCATCAAGCCCCCTCTGCCTTGTGAGCACCCACCAGCAGGGCCTGAGCCCACCTGCCAGCGAGGACAGAGCCATGCACAGCCCTCACACCCCCCGTGGCAGGCAGGGCTGGGGGATGCAGGGAGCTGTGCTGGCTCAGGGTGGCATCAGCTCTGGGGAGCAAGGAGACAACAGCAGCATGAGATGTGCCTCCAGCCTTTGGCATCAAGCCCCCTCTGCCTTGTGAGCACCCACCAGCAGGGCCTGAGCCCACCTGCCAGCGAGGACAGAGCCATGCACAGCCCTCACACCCCCCGTGGCAGGCAGGGCTGGGGGATGCAGGGAGCTGTGGCTTCTCCACAAGGAGAGGAGACCCCAGAGCCAGGGTAAGTGACAGAAGCCTTTGGAAGGTGGCCTGGTATTTGTCATGACTTCATTAACAGACTGCAGCTAATGAAGCAGAATCAAAGAGAAGAATTGGGGTGAAAATGGGATAGCTCTGCCCTCCCTGCTCCCTGCCTGGGCTTCCAAGCTATGGCAGCACCAAAGCTGGAGGTCAGGATTGCTGCTCAGGGGACTGAAGACCTGTTTTGCAAAAGCAAAAAGAAGGGGAAAAAAGAGTGGAGGAAGGGATGGGGTATCACTCCGAGTTGCATCATTTCAGTGCTTCTGCTTAAACGGTGCCCAGCCCCTCCTGTGTGTTTGCTGGCAGATGTGGCACCAGGTGACACACAGTGGCAGTTCTCCTCATGTCTGTGCACAGCCACTGGGATCCATCCCTTGGGCCAGAGCAGGAGCAGTGCTCCTGGTCCCCAGACCTCATCCTGCAGTCAAGGGTGTGCAGGAGAGGAGCCCCCTGCCCCAGCAGCCTCCCTGGGCAGCTGCAGGCCCGTGCAGTGTGGGCACTGCAGCTAATGAAGCAGAATCAAAGAGAAGAATTGGGGTGAAAATGGGATAGCTCTGCCCTCCCTGCTCCCTGCCTGGGCTTCCAAGCTATGGCAGCACCAAAGCTGGAGGTCAGGATTGCTGCTCAGGGGACTGAAGACCTGTTTTGCAAAAGCAAAAAGAAGGGGAAAAAAGAGTGGAGGAAGGGATGGGGTATCACTCCGAGTTGCATCATTTCAGTGCTTCTGCTTAAACGGTGCCCAGCCCCTCCTGTGTGTTTGCTGGCAGATGTGGCACCAGGTGACACACAGTGGCAGTTCTCCTCATGTCTGTGCACAGCCACTGGGATCCATCCCTTGGGCCAGAGCAGGAGCAGTGCTCCTGGTCCCCAGACCTCATCCTGCAGTCAAGGGTGTGCAGGAGAGGAGCCCCCTGCCCCAGCAGCCTCCCTGGGCAGCTGCAGGCCCGTGCAGGATGGGCATGTTGTGGCACCACCACCACAGCAAATCCCTTCCCAGCTCTTGCTGTGCCAGAGGAATGGAGAGGGAAGCTCACTTCTGCTACCTGGAGAGCTCACCTGGCAAACTGCTGCAGCCTTCGCTGGTGGTGATCAAAAGCAAGTCCCCCACTGTCCCCAGGGAGGGAGGGACAGGATTCTGCCCTGACTTCTGTGCTCTGTACAGCATGAGCAACTCACCCTTCTGCCACAGCCTGCTGTGTGTTGGGCTCAGCATAGAGTGCCCTGTTCCTGCTTGGTCATGGCAATGTCCCAGGGTGGCAGCAGGGGTAGTCTTGCCAAACCTTTCACAAGCCAGTGGGAAGACACCAGCTCTGTCTGGGAAGATCTTGATTAGTAGGAAGAGGGAGGGACCTTCCCTCCCAGTCATGGCTAACCCCAAGGAGCCCATTCACCCCACTAGCCTGGCTCCCCAGCCCCTCTCCTGTGCTCCCCAGGGACAGCATCCCTTCCTTTCTTAGAGGACAGCAGTTCTCACCTTGAGGGAATTGGAAATGGCAGCTGGAATGTGGGCTGGGAAAAAAGAAAGAAAAGAAAAAGAAAAAAGGAAAAGGAAAAGGAAAAGAAAAAGAAAAAGAAAAAGAAAAAGAAAAAGAAAAAGAAAAGGAAAAAGAAAAAGAAAAAGAAAAAGAAAAAGAAAAAGAAAAAGAAAAAGAAAAAGAAAAAGAAAAAGAAAAAGGAAAAGGAAAAGGAAAAGGAAAAGGAAAAGGAAAAGGAAAAAGAAAAAGAAAAAAGAAAAAGAAAAAGAAAAAGAAAAAGAAAAAGGAAAAGAAAAAGAAAAAGAAAAAGAAAAAAGAAAAGAAAAAAGAAAAAGAAAAAGGAAAAGAAAAAGGAAAAAGAAAAAGAAAAAAGGAAAAGGAAAATAAAAAGAAAAAGAAAAAGGAAAAGAAAAAAGCAATCTTGAGGCTTGTCCAAACCTACTCATGTTTATATTGGAGCCTGTGAGTGACATCAGAGCAGAGAGAGTATAAACACCAGCAGGACCTACTCGGGGCTTTAAAACCTGCGAACACGCTGCTGCCTCCAAGCTGCCTGGGGGGTGATGTGCTGAAGCACTGAGGGGAGAGCAGCATGAGGCTCCAGCTGGAGAAGCAGCTCCTCTTCCTCTCCCTCCTCTGCACCCTCTCCAAGGTAAGGAAAACGGGCCCTGGAGCAGCATTAGCCTTACTTGGGGAGGCAGCCGGTCCTTGCAAAGTGAGCTGCAGGGAGGAAGGGGGTGTTCCAAGGGGCCCGGTGGCTAAGGCTGGCAGGCTGTGCTGCTGCAGTGCCACGGGGGCAGAGCAATGCTTGGGGGACACATCTGCAGTGAAGCAGCAAGGTCTGAACATCCACGGGCCAGAGGCACTGGCTGTGCCAGCCCCTGGAGCAGGCAGGAATGACAGCAATGTGCTCTGTTTGCTGGCCCCATCCCTGCAGCTCTCCCGGGGCTGTGGTATGTGTCCCTGCAAGGGGAGCAGCAGGGGAGCAGCAGCAGCTCCTGCAGACTCCTTGCTCCCTGCCCAGGCTCCAAGGCAAGGGGCCAAGCAGTGAGCACCAGCCTCGGTGTTACTCAGCTCTCCCTCCTCCCCGGGATGCTCATGCAAAGCCAATGCCTCCAACACAGCTTGGGCTGCAGGGATTTTTATTCTTTTCCTTTTTTTTTTTTCTCTCTTGGGCTCCATGTGAACATAGCTGCCTGTGCAGAGAACAGGAAAGCTGGCAAGTTTGGGGCTGTCACAGCTCCAACTTCTAATTGTTGCTGGAATCCCAGAGCAGACTTCCACAAGCAGGATTATCATGGCAGTGTTGTGCCTATTTGACTCCTTCCCAGACAGTTCAGATCTCTGATAGGAGCCACGTTGTCATCCACAGACAACCAGGGGGAAATTAATTCAGGGAGTTGGCTTGGCTAATCTTGATCTGTAGTAGCAACCTCCTGAAAGATGAAAAATGCCCCTGGCTGCCTGGTGAGCAGTGAGGAAGAAATTACTCCTGCCCCAAGCATGCTTGTGAGTGTCTGGAGCATCACCAAGGGCCTTTGTGCCAAATCTGGCCACCACAGCCAGTCCTTTGGTCCCTGCTGTGAGCCCCTCTCTGGTTTCTGCCACACTAGCAATGCTGCTCATTGATAAAACTAGAACAAGACTCAAATTGCCCAGTCCATTTCAGATATATTTTATCTCCAGTTGCTGGCACTGACATTGCTGCAGGCCCATAAAATGCATCTGAACTCCTGCATACCAGGGACAGCACACCAGCACCCCCCTTCTGTGCCCAGCTGGTAATGCCAGACCTGATGCTACTGGGAGAAACTGAAAGAAAAATGGTATCCAACATCTACGTTGAAGCCACTGATCTCTTGGCAGTCTCAGCAGGGACACCAGTGTCTGGAGCAGCACAGGGCTGAATTTTTTGGTTGCATGTTTGCTGACCTGCTGCCTGCATGGCACGTGCTGGTGGAGCAGCAGGGCCCGGGCAGCTCAGAGAGGGGCTCACACAGGTTGCCAGGCAAAGACTTCACATCCAAACTGCAGAGCCAGCTCACTTGGCTTCAGGCCCAATATGCAACAGCTCTGTCAGATGTGGCACAAAGGGAGCACGAGCCTTGCCTGCAAAAGCTGTTTGTGCCAGGGTAACTGTGCAGGCAGAAGGAGCCCTGGTCTAAACACTGACCTGCTCTGGTGAACAGCCCTGGCCAACAACCACTGAGCTGGCAAACAGCTGCACAGCACTGCCCTGCAGAAGAGAGTGCCCAGGCTAGCTGGAGCTCCCAGCCCTTGAAAACATGCCTGTCTTAGGGCTCCTCACCCTGTGGGCCAGGCAGAGGGTGCTGCAGGCAGGGACAGGCAGAGGAGGCACTGGAGCAGGAGGGAAAGCAGTGTGGCTTGTTTGGCTTCAACCCCCCTGCTGTTGATGCGATGCCCTGTTTCTTGGCATGAGAGCTGTTAGGACAGTTCAGAGATGCTGTGCCCTCACCACGTGCATTCAGCCCCACTAAAGCCACACCTCCAGCTGGGCACAACCCACTGCCTTGCTGGCAGGCATGGGGGCTGGCTGCTTCCCCCCATCCCACCACCGGGCTGCTTAGGGCAGGTGTGGCTGCCTCGGGGGCTGCCAGCCCCATTATAAGTAGGATATTCACTTTGCAGCTCCACCCTCTTCCTGTGCCTTCAGACCAGCGATATGTTTAAATCCCCATCCTGCAAAGTGCTGAGCATTCCTGATTCTCCCCAGCTTTTCCCCACGTGCCCAGCACACCCTGTCCTAACAGGACTATTCCCATAGATTTGCAGAGCTTCTCTCCAACGAGAACTTGCCCCTGTGATGAAGAAAGGATTACCTGGTTGTCCTGGGGAAAGCTCAGCCATGGGCCAAAGCCCAAACTGTACTGACTCAGGGCTGGCTTTGCCCCTGCAGGTGTGTGCCCAGCTGTGCCGCCGACCGTGCTACTGCCCCTGGGTGCCCCCCCGCTGTCCCCGCGGGTCCCCCCTGGTCCTGGATGGCTGTGGCTGCTGTAAGATCTGTGCCCGGCGCCTGGGAGAGCCCTGTGCCTCCCTCCACGTCTGCGACCAGAGCCAGGGCCTCGTCTGTGACTACAGCACAGCGTCCATGGGGACAGGAGCCACCTGCAACTGTGAGCACCGGGGTGGCAGCTCCACACAGGGATGTCTCTGTGTCCCCAGCCCAGCACCCAAACCCTGGCCAGGGCCCCAGCCAGCTCCAGGCAGCCCTCACCACGTCCAGGGAGGCTGTTGAAGCTCTGAAAGCAGCTTAAGGGAGGCTGATGCTGGTGGGTTTGCTGCTGGGCTGTGCTGCAGCTCCAGCCAGCTCTGCTGTTTGCCAGCTGGGGGCTTGGGATGGTTTGGGCAGGGATGGACACAGGGGTCCCAAGGAGGCTGCAGACACCCTGCCAGGGCTGGAGCCTGGGGGTCCTGCAGAGAAATTTCTGATAAACTTTTTCTAGCCTGAAAACCCAGAAAGGCAGGATGACCAACTGGTGAGCTCCTGCTTTGAAAATACAGAGCCAGCTCTGCTGTTTGCCAGCTGGGGGCTTGGGATGGTTTGGGCAGGGATGGACACAGGGGTCCCAAGGAGGCTGCAGACACCCTGCCAGGGCTGGAGCCTGGGGGTCCTGCAGAGAAATTTCTGATAAACTTTTTCTAGCCTGAAAACCCAGAAAGGCAGGATGACCAACTGGTGAGCTCCTGCTTTGAAAATACAGAGGGATAAGGAGAGGAGGTAGGGAAGGGGAGGAGGTTGGGCAATACACGTGCTGCTGCAAACCCACACCTGCCCCACACACTTCCCAGTCACTTCTGTGGCTCCTTGGTTCAGTCCCTTTGAGCCAGCCCCACGGTGTCCCCCAGCAGTCCCCTCTGCCATCCGCATCTCTGTCACTTGGTCCCTAACGGGCTCCCTGGCTGTGACTTGCAGTTGAAGATGTTGAGGAGGGCTGCGAGCTGAACGGCCGAGCCTACCGAGACGGGGAGGTTTTCCAGCCCAGCTGCAAGCTCCAGTGCCGCTGCCTGGACGGGGGCTTCACCTGCATCCCACTCTGCCAGGAGGACATCCGGCTGCCCACCCCGGACTGCCCCTACCCACGGCGCGTGGACATCCCTGGGAAGTGCTGCCCAGAGTGGATCTGCGAGACCCGGGACCAGCACCTCCTCCTGGATGCCAGGGCAGGTAAGATGCAGGATACACTGGTGAGGAGATGCCCATGAAGGCCTCTGGTGATGGTGCAATCAGCCCAGACCACCATCAGCAGGAGACACCTCCCTGCACCTTCCCTGCCACGCAGAGCTCTGCCTGCAGCACCCCCTGCACAGCACTTGGCTCCAACCACCCTTTTCCCTCCATCTTTTTGTTTCATCCAGCCCCTGGGGCAGTGTCTCCACCGCTGCCATCCCCCTGCCAGGAGTGGGGCACGGAGTGGAGTGCCTGCTCAGCCACCTGTGGCCTGGGCTTTTCTACCCGTGTCTCCAACCAGAACCGCTCCTGCCGGCTGGAGACCCAGCGGCGGCTCTGCCTGGCCAGGCCCTGCCCGCCCCTGCCCCCCCCGGCGGTAAGTGAGGGCACCTCTCTGGGAAAAAGGTTTGGTTGAGAAAGGGAAATGCCAACCATCATAAGCCACGGGGCCCCCCCGGTTTTACCCCACCCCAGCCACGACCCGACTGTTTCCCAGGCACAGAGCAACTGTCTTCTGAAACTGGGCTTGGAAAACCGCTGGTGGCAGGTGTAGAACTGAGCTTGACGGTCTCTGGATTTCTGAATCCAGGAGCACTGTGGAACTCTGAGCCCTGAAGGTGGGCTTGACCTGCTCCTGTGGCTGGAGCTGCTTTTGCAGCTCATGCCTGGCTCCCAGGGGACACCCAAGAGGCAGGGCTCTGCCACCCCTTCCATTAGCCCAGCACAGCCCCAGCGTGGACAACACTGCCTTGCTCCCACACTGCCAGTGCTTCCCAGGGCCAGCACCCACACTGCCAGTGCTTCCCAGGGCCAGCACCCACACTGCCAAGTGCCCCTGCTCCCTAGACATGGGAGAACACACCACCACCCTCCTCTATCTTCCTGTCACTCTCTGCTCTGCCTTTCCAGCGGGGAAGAGGAGGTCGTTTGTAGTTGTGCCCACCCTGATCACATCCCAAAGCCAACGCCTCATCCCAGCACTGTGGTTTCAGTGGAGAGGAAAGACAAATCCCTTGGGAAACTGAGGAAGGACTGATGGACTTTGGCTGCAAAAGAGGGTGGAAGCAGAGAACAAGATCCCCACAACACGGCAGCACCTGCCCCTCTGTGCACCCTGGCAGGGTCACGGGGCAGAATCCCCGAGTTTCTTAGGCTGAATGAAATGGGAAATGGGGAAACCCTGCCATGAGCATAAACCCATCCAAGAAACCAGGAGCTGCTGCTTTCCTGGATTGATGGGGCTTTTGGCGAGGTGATGCTGCTCCCCCACATCGCACACGCGGCTCTGCCCGGCGGGGGCCGCAAGACAGAGACCAACCCCAGCCCCGGGACCCCGCAGCTGCGGGGGGACCCCTCGCACCCCACCTCGCACCCCAGGGGACATGGGGGCACGCGTGACGAGCGGGCTGCAGAGCCGGACCCTGCGGGAGCTCATCCATCCCACCATCCCACCCCGCCGCGCAGCACAAGCCACCCGGGATGCAGGGAGCATCCTCCAGGTGGCAGCTCTCGGTCACCTTCCC